CGGCGGTGATGAGGCTCCATTCAGTTCAGGTGTGCCCCATGACACGCCACCAGCCCTGGCTATTTCAGCGCCCCTCCTCTCTCACGCACCCACTCATGTCGGGAACCTGGCGAAGGGCGGCGATTAAGGGACGGGGTGATGCTGATGTGGGGAGGCAGCCGACTCGTCACAGTGTGTTGATATCCAGCCGAAGAGCAATCAACCATAACTTCAGGCGAGCAGGCTCAGAAGTCGGTTTGAACAATCCGGATAAGCGCAAGTAAGTACCATTTTGATTAGCCATCATACCTACAATGTTTGTGCACTGTGTAAACAATGAGTGACATATACGCGTGAGAGATCACTTCCGGCACTTGCGTAAACTCATAGACTTTGTTACCATTGCCATGCATTGTAAGACTGATGGACTCCAACGGTTGGACTTAAAAATCATCAAATGTGTTCTACTGAAGAAACTAAGTCACCTACATTCCCTGATGATTCTCAAAGGTTTGGTCTCTACGCAAACAAAACAGAACAAAATGAAAAACAAACAAACCAACAAATCAAAACACAGATAGAGGAGAGAGCAGGTTTAAGCATTTCCCTGCTGTAAAGGGTTATGGCAGGACCTGCAGAGTAGAGGGCGCTGCCGGGTCATAACATCTAGTGTGTCAGCCTTGCTTGGATAGCAGAAGCAGGCTAATTACCTTGAAGATTGAGGAAAACCCTGATTTTGGGGTTTTGCTAGCTGGACGTGTCAGTATTCTATGGGCTAGGCTTAGTGATGGATTGAGGTGATCCAGTCGGGATCCCGTGGCAGCTCACTGTGATCCGCCGTGGAGGCAACCGTCGCTTCACCAACTAAGCACTAGAGGGAGTGCTACCTATAGGTAAACACAAATGGCTAGAATACAGAAATTAAATTTAAATTTAAATTCAAGCACTGTTTAAACTAAATTTAAATAAATTAGTGGTAAAGTGAGAGAGAAGAGGGGGAGAGAAACCTGATCAAATAATACAAAAAGGAACAAAACAAAAATAAAAAGATAAAAGTAATAAAGTAAAAACAAAAATAATACTAAAATAAAGAACTAAAACAGGAGGTACCTAGAATGGTGTGAATGACAATAATGACTAAAGGAGAAGAAGGAAAATTAGAAATAAAACAAATTGAAATACATGGACTCAATGATAGAGAAGTCGACCTAGCTGAGATTGCCCACAAGGTGGAGTGGGTGAGCCCACACAAGGTGAAAACAGGAGGGTAGTGGAGGAGTTCAAGAAGTGTTAGATACTTAAACTGTGTCCCAAAGTTGAGTGTGCACAAGGAAGGAAGGGTCCAGGTAAGGGGCGGAGTCCGGCGGCCGCATGCGCTCCCCTCTCCGGTCCAGGGCGTGAGTCCATCTCTCTGCCCACGGCGCTTGAAGGGACTAGACGGCCCAGCATCCTTGCCCGACGGCCGTGTAACGGGTGCGGTTCTGGTCCGGACTGTGGGTCCGGCAGCTCACGACTCTGGCGGCACGGGAGTCTCTCTACGCACCCCTCCTGGACCCACGAGGACACCAGCGTGCATGCACGGGGAAGAGACCGGTCTCCCGAGGAGAGGTGCACTCGGCATTTGAGCAGCGGCGGTGATGAGGCTCCATTCAGTTCAGGTGTGCCCCATGACACGCCACCAGCCCTGGCTATTTCAGCGCCCCTCCTCTCTCACGCACCCACTCATGTCGGGAACCTGGCGAAGGGCGGCGATTAAGGGACGGGGTGATGCTGATGTGGGGAGGCAGCCGACTCGTCACAGTGTGTTGATATCCAGCCGAAGAGCAATCAACCATAACTTCAGGCGAGCAGGCTCAGAAGTCGGTTTGAACAATCCGGATAAGCGCAAGTAAGTACCATTTTGATTAGCCATCATACCTACAATGTTTGTGCACTGTGTAAACAATGAGTGACATATACGCGTGAGAGATCACTTCCGGCACTTGCGTAAACTCATAGACTTTGTTACCATTGCCATGCATTGTAAGACTGATGGACTCCAACGGTTGGACTTAAAAATCATCAAATGTGTTCTACTGAAGAAACTAAGTCACCTACATTCCCTGATGATTCTCAAAGGTTTGGTCTCTACGCAAACAAAACAGAACAAAATGAAAAACAAACAAACCAACAAATCAAAACACAGATAGAGGAGAGAGCAGGTTTAAGCATTTCCCTGCTGTAAAGGGTTATGGCAGGACCTGCAGAGTAGAGGGCGCTGCCGGGTCATAACATCTAGTGTGTCAGCCTTGCTTGGATAGCAGAAGCAGGCTAATTACCTTGAAGATTGAGGAAAACCCTGATTTTGGGGTTTTGCTAGCTGGACGTGTCAGTATTCTATGGGCTAGGCTTAGTGATGGATTGAGGTGATCCAGTCGGGATCCCGTGGCAGCTCACTGTGATCCGCCGTGGAGGCAACCGTCGCTTCACCAACTAAGCACTAGAGGGAGTGCTACCTATAGGTAAACACAAATGGCTAGAATACAGAAATTAAATTTAAATTTAAATTCAAGCACTGTTTAAACTAAATTTAAATAAATTAGTGGTAAAGTGAGAGAGAAGAGGGGGAGAGAAACCTGATCAAATAATACAAAAAGGAACAAAACAAAAATAAAAAGATAAAAGTAATAAAGTAAAAACAAAAATAATACTAAAATAAAGAACTAAAACAGGAGGTACCTAGAATGGTGTGAATGACAATAATGACTAAAGGAGAAGAAGGAAAATTAGAAATAAAACAAATTGAAATACATGGACTCAATGATAGAGAAGTCGACCTAGCTGAGATTGCCCACAAGGTGGAGTGGGTGAGCCCACACAAGGTGAAAACAGGAGGGTAGTGGAGGAGTTCAAGAAGTGTTAGATACTTAAACTGTGTCCCAAAGTTGAGTGTGCACACTTAAAAGGCCAGGCCTCCGAAGTGCATGAAAGACACTCCGCCTTCGCAGGATTTCCTAATTGTGACACCAGAGATTCCCGATTAGCGCTTTGTTGCATAGCAACGGTATGAGAGGAGAGCTGACGAGAGGAAAATCCAGCCAGGATAGGTGGAGCCAGAATTGCTCATTTTTGTTTTTATGTTTTAAGTCATAATGGAGGAGACGGTGATGTACCTCAGGCTTAGCCAAGACCGAGGCCAGGTAAATTACACTGGTTTGCTGCGTCCTTTGTCGGATTACAACTTTAAATGCAGGAATTAGCTTGGAGCTTACTTGAATAATGTAATGATACATATGAAAAACTACAATACACACACACACACACACACCCACATAGCAGTTCAAATGCTGACTGATATCTTACAAAGGTGCGATGTTATATAGTTTATTGTCTTGACCATGGTGATCATATGTAGACAGGTTAGCAAAAATAAAACTGTGAATAAAAAAATAGAGCATTGTACAGCTCAATGTTCAGCGGAAGCTGTCACAGCTGAACAGTGCTCTGTTTGACCGCTCTTAGTCGTTCAGATACAGCCTTTGATATAGTTAGCAAACATTTATTAATATTCTGACAAAATGTTGATACTTTCATTTTCAAAATAATCAGAGGTTGACTGTAAGGAAGTACATTCGTTAAGTATACTCGAACAAATATGAAGTACAACGTTTTCTTTTTTTTTTCTCACAGGACAGCAGCACTACAAAAATATGGTATTTTACAACATGATGCATTGTTGTAGATTAAACTACCCAACAGTATATGGAGTAGGAAACTTTAAATTTAATAACCTTGAACATAAAGTAAAATGCAACATACACAGTAGTGCAGCAGTAATATTAATGCAAAACCATCCTGACAAATTTCTTTTTTTCAGAACAATACTGTATAACTTTACTTTTACTCTCAATACCTTAAGTATATTAGAGTATGCAAGATAATACTTTTACTTAAAGGATAGTTCAGCCAAAGAGGAAAATTCTGTAATCATTTACTCACCCTTAAGTTGTTCCAGTTTTGGAATTTTCATTTTTGGCTGAACTATCCCTTTAGCTAAGCTTATAAATATGACTAGTAGTTTTTCTCCAATGTGGTATTAGTAGATACAAAAAGTAGTTTACTAAAGTACCTAAATATTTCTTCTACTAACTACTCTGTCATAGCTCTAAACAATTTCTCTTTTCCTTCTTTCCTTAAATCAGATCAGACCCCTGTACTGCAGGATAAAGCTGAATGTGCCAGCGCTGGACAGGTTTTTAATGGTTTTCGGCTGAGTAGGGAGGCCCTGACAATGCTGCTGGATCTTCTGAGAAGTGAACGGCAACAATGATGATCATACAGAGTAGTCTTGACATGCCTCGTTCCACTGTCACCGCATTGTCCTCCGAGTCGCTGAGGAGATGCTGGTCATTCACCTCTTGAAGACCCCAGAACACATAGAGGCGGGGCTGGGCTCAAAACTGATGTTTTTTTTTCTGATGTTAAATCTAAGCTATGTTGTAAATAATTTCAGTAATGTATAGAACGATTTGTTTAATGTGTAAAAAAAATATTTACAAGACAAAAAATAAACATATAGAAGAATGTTTTGTGAAAAAATTATAAGCTGCGTTAAAAAAATGAACAATGTACATAATTACTTCTCTTTTATTTACACATGTGAATATGCAAAACAAAAATACAAATTGTACAGAAAGTACTCAGGCTCATTTACAAATAAATTGCACTACAAAAATGAATAATGTATACAACTTATTTCATTTTTAACTTACGTCACAAATATAAACTACAGAAATTAGGTTGTTTCATTTACAATGTGACATTTAAAAAAATATATTGAAAAACTGTGATGTACCCATTTTTTCCACTGCGTTCTCTTGCCTAATAGAGAATGGATAATAAATAATGTATTTGTTCAGCATTCTCTCAAGAAAAGAAAACAGTCCCTTCATTCTCTCCTTGCTCTCCTGTGCTCTTCTCTCCTCTGTCTCTCTCTGGAGTTTGATGTCCTCCCTGAGTAGCTCCACCAGCTTCCACTCACTCCCTCACCTGTCCCAGGACACTTGCAATCCTAAGGCAGAGCAAATAAACCATGCCTGTTAACAACAACAGCACAATCAATTTCAGCAAAAAATGTGTGTATTAACTTGCATACTTAGTATTTTTTCAATCTTTCCCCAGCAGACTAATTTTCTTCAGAATAGTACTAAAACAAGAGAAAATGGAAACACTTATGAAAAACATAAAGACTTAAATCTTAGCATTGCAATCTTAACATTAGAAAATATGACAAAGCAGGACATGCATACAAAATACTGAAGTGCTAAAGTTTGGTTAAAACATTTGTAGACAATTCTTGAATGACAGCACTACAAAAACTCAACAAAATAAGACTATTGCCTTATATAGTGGTTGTCTTATTGTTCGTGGGCTTTGTGTTAAAAAAAACCTGGCTTTTAACACTTTCGCTAGGTATTTGAGTAAATGAAAACCCAATACTTACATTTTAATGTGAATTCCCCGACAGAGCTCTCACCCACCCTGTTCTTTTTCTTCTTCATTTGATGTTTTATGGCGTTTGGCAAACCCTGCACTGTTCTTTGAATATAAACACTGTTGTCATCTGCGCGCAAGTGATTCTGGGATATGGTAGGGTGCGAAGTGTCCATCAAATGTGCACTTCATTTTCCTGGGAAATGAAGGGTGCATTTGAAGTCGCTTTCGAAATACGTCAGCCTTCGTCACGACGCAGTGACGCAATCGGCCTTGGAATGCAGTATTCGGAGGGTGCATTCTGAATTGGGACAGCCTTCGTTGTGGTGGGTGTGGCCAATCGCACTTCAAATGCGCACTCCGGAGTCCACGCAAAACAGCCTGCCCTCTAGCATTAGTTTAAGGTACTGTGCCTTAACTCCAATCGTGCTTAAAACTGATCGCGATCGATGAGATTACTCTCATTCTAACATGACATGACATGTGGCCAAGTATGGTTACCCATACTAGGAATTAGTGCTCTGCATTTAACCCATCCTTAGTGAACACAGACAGCAGTGAACACACACACACACCGTGAACACACACCCGGGGATTCAGTGCCTTGCTCAAGGGCACCTCAGTCGTGGTATTGAAGGTGGGAGAGAGCACTGTACATTCACTCCCCCAACCTACAATTCCTGCCGGTACAAGACTCAAACCCACAACCTTTTGGGTTACGAGTCCAACTCTCTAACCATTAGGCCACGACTAATGGACAATTTACTGCAGCTATCACAAGAACAATGTGACTTAGATCCCAACTGATTCTTACAGTTTGTGCAACTTAACTGCACGATGTGTGGCAGGATTTCTTCGCTGCCAGTGCACAATAAAAATTATAAGCAATGGGGTTTCTTCGCTGTTGTTATACAAATTTCACTTGATCAAGGTTTTAAAAGCTCCCATTTACATTCCAATCAGTTACTGGCTCGCAGTATTCTTATGATCAGATCTGTATTATAGGTGCACATTAGTTATAGCTACTCTAATGTTCTTGTAAGGGAGTGAGGTCGTCTAGTTGAAATTAACATGCAATGACTTCAAACTTGCGATATCCTCAGATAAGGCCTTTAAAAGATGATAAGAGGAACATCGCTCAAATCAGTCTTTATCGCAATGAAGGAAGATTTCTTCATTCCAACAGGCGATTTTGATAATATTACAATGTACTGTAAAGAGATTTCTTCGTCTTTACAGAACAATTTAAATATTATGAACTGCAGTTTACTTTAACAATTAACAGTGACTAAATGTTAGACAAATAGAGCCTGTCAAAATACAGTACTGGAGGTGGCTTTGAACCATCCAATCAAAAGAGTGAGTTCGCGTTGTGACTTACCTCACTCTAAGAGTGCATAATATAAGAACACAGATAAATTGATATCTCCATCTCCCACATTCTCCACCAAATATGTAGCAAATTAGCTCAAAAGGGAAATATTTATAATTAATTATAACTGGTTGTAATCAATAATAAATATTTCGATTAGATCTTAGAATTAACTGTAGCAGAATCAGTATTACAATTATTTGATCTGTCCGTCCACCGAGCAGAGAATATAATCATTTATCAATTCAAGGAAAGATTATTTTCCTGGCCAAGGAACAAAAGCTTTCCTACTTTGTGCAGTACTAACAGTAGTTTAGCATGTAGCAAAGATCAACATTCAGTGACTCCGAATTGGAAGCAGAGACAATTATTGTGAATATAAGGGATTTAATGAATGAAACTATAGCTAACATACAACTAAATTAACTGAAAGAGCTCGAGAAATTTCAGCTTTCATTATGCCGTCTGGGTTATTTTCATACATGGTTATTAGCTTCGGGTTGCGCAATGCTCCTGCAACTTTCCAGCGCTTGATGAATCCAGTTATTTCTGGTTTGATGGGATGCGCTGTGTATTTGGATGACGTCATCGTGTGTAGTTAAACTTGGGATGAACATATAGTTCAAATTAGAGCACTGTTTGATCAATTTCTGAAGGCAAATTTGTTAAAATTAAAGGTAATTTGTTAGGTTCTTTTCTAGAAAGTTTAATTCTTATCAGCTTAATTATTCGGTGATTGAAAAGGAAGCGCTTGCCTTGATTTGGCTTTGCAACACTTTGAAATGTATGTGGGATCATCTGAGAGACCTCTGGTGGTTTTTGCTGATCACAATCGTTTAGTTTTTCTTCACTCGTTACAAAACCCTAACCAAAGGTTAATGAGGTGGTGCTTATTTTTCCAGGGATACCTGTTAGATATTCACCACATTAAGGGCTCTGAGAACATAACTGCGGATGCCTTATCTCGTGTCCAAATAATCTAAGTGTCGTAGAGTTGTCTTATTTTCTCTGTCTTTTATCTCTCTGTTCCTTTCTTAATTTTTGCTTCCTAGGCGCCTAGATTGCTGGGAGGAGTTGGAGAGTTAAGGCTGGGGACAATTGAGAACTGGACCAATACTTTCCACTTGGATTGTTGGGATTTTGTGGAGTTGATTTGATTTGTTCTAAAAGACTCTGTGGTCTTTTCTTTTTAGGGGGGGTGTGTGACGGGTCTCCTATTCTTCCCGCTACGGCCGGCCAGTGGGTGTGGCTAAGAGACTCATCAAGCGAACGATGTCTGCCTGTTCTTCCCTCTATAAAGTTTGGGCTTTGTTGGCATGGTGTGGTGGCTTGTTCCCGGGTTGCTTTGTTCTTGCTTTTGGGTTTTATTTGTCTATTTTGGTTTTGTTATTAATTTAAACTTGGTTCTGTCTGATGCTTTGACGTCATGCGTCTGACAGAGATTGTGCTTCGTTGTGTTGATTTCTCGTTTCATATATTTTTCTACTTATGTTAAAGGGGTCATATGATGCTGCAAAAAAGAACATTATCTTGAGTATTTGGTGTAATGAAATGTGTTTATGCGGTTTAAAGTAAAAAAAACACATTATTTTCCACATACTGTACATTATTTTTTCTCCTCTATGCCCCGCCTTTTTGAAACGCATCGATTTTTACAAAGCTCATAGGTCTGAAAAAGCGAGGTGTGCTGTGATTGGCCAGCTATCCAGTGCGCTGTGATTGGCAGAATACCTCAAGGATGTGACGGAACTGTTACGCCCCTCACCATACTGTTGATGCCGTGTCCCGGCTGGAGCGATGAGACAAAAACATTAAAACCCATTACAAACGAGGCATTTGTTGCATCCAGTGGGGACATAATTACTTATTATAATGACTTATACTGTCTTTTTATGCGTTGCGTTGCATCGCGCCGCGTAAACATAAAACCTTGTCTGCATTTGTGATCGGAGAAATGGCAAACAACAAGTGCTACTCTACACCGTCCAAAACTCGCGTTTGAATCATCAGTGGCAAATCCTTTAAATGAAAACGTACTTACAGACTGTGACAGAACTGCCAGGATTGTAGTCTACTCTTCCAGGATCAGGAAACAGTCCTCCATAAAATGTGCTGCACACATCTGGATATTTGGTTAAACTGTTCTGGAACAGTGTTGTAAATACAACTTAACCACTGTTAAACAAACAAAGTAGTTTCGCTTTCACAACAAAACACACGGCGGCCTAGCATGAGCTGAGGCCGGGCTAGAATGAACTGAGGCCGGGCTAGAGGGAGCAGAGGCGGAGGGCTTGAGAACGGCGCAGCTAGCGGATTCGACGAAGGAGCGGCAACCACATGTGACGACCCCGGACTGGACTCCGCTTCGTCCATGGTGAAAGCCGATCCGGCAATCCACAGCACTAAGTTGATGTATTCCCCTTAGCGACCAGCACAGATCAGCTCTAGGCATGACGAAACGGATATCGTCCTCTTTTGGAAGACCAAACAAAGTAGTTTCTCTTTCACAACGAAACACGCAGCTCTTCACAACATGGCGGCGGCAACAATACTACAGCGAGAATAAAAGTTACGCCTTCTTTCTTTGCGTGAACATTTGGGCGGCGTTATGCAAATCTTCCCACATAGTGACGTAGATATGTGGGGGCGTGCTAGAACGAGTCGTTTTAGGTAGGCGTGGTTAACTCTTAACTTTTATAAAGAATATCTCTTTGGATTTGAGACTTTAGTCTTTGCAACTTTACAGATCTTCTTTATGCACCAAGAACTTGTGACACTCCAAAGAGAAAGGAAAAATTTAAATCGCTTCATATGACGCCTTTAATAAACATTTTTTTGTTGCAACCAGACCAACCTGACTGTATCCTCCATTCATTTGTCACGGCTTGGAGCCTGTCGTGACACTGTGTATATTTTGATTATACGGTGTTGTAAATAAAATACAAATACAAACCCCCATTATTTTACTCTCCTCACATTCTTTGTTACCTGCTTCACAGACACATTACTGACTGATAGCTCATTATGGGAGGCCTTTGTCTCTCAGGTGTGAATCACTAAAATACTTATGGCCATTGCCACTCCCTCGCATATTGGCATTCTATCACAAAACATGTTTTACAAATGTTAAATCAATGTTTTGTTTTCTGTGAATGAGTAAACAGGATAATTTTCACATCAAATTGTGGCAAAAACTCTAGTCTACCACATACTGTTCTCAAACGTCTTGTAAACAAATGTTCTGTATGTGTTTTAGGGCCTTATTTCAGTGACTTTTAGTTTTTCACTAACCACGCATAAACGTTGTTTTCTCAAAAAAAGTAACATGTACATTCATGCTGCTTACATATTATTGTAGCACAGTTTGTGCTAATTAAACTGTAATCAGATTTTAGCCATTAAGGCTCCGTCCACACGGAGACGCGATTAGCTGTATACGCATACATTTTGTATCGTATAGGCGTTTCATCCACACGGATCCGGCATTTTGGGAGAGTGAAACCCAGAGTGGATAAATCTGAAAATGTCACCCTTGCGTTTTCGTGTGGACCGCGAATCCGTATATTTTCTGAAACGATGACGTCATCAGCCCATGTCTCGCCCCTAGTCAGACACCGCTATGTCACATAACAGCAACAAAAACATGAACAAACACTGAACGATTGTCTTTTTATTAACTAACATTAATACAGATTAATAGATGTATTGTTCCATGTTCGTTTGTATACCGCGCGCAAGGTTTAGTCCAAGTCTTCTTCTCCGTTTTTAGTGTATCTCTGTGGCAGAATTACAGCGCCACAAACTGATCTTGCACGTATACTACATCGTTTTGTGTCAGTTTTG